GTCCGTTAGGGTCTGTGGATTAGAATATCCAATCTGAAAGAGAACAATGGACATGAACTGAACTTATCGAAAGCCAATTCAAAAAGTGAAATCTCACAAAGTGTGTAAGGAGTGATTAGTTGTAGCTTCATATTTACAAACGGATCGGTGTGACAATGCCTCAGGCTACCTGCGAAATGGATGAAAAGACCACTGGACTACCCTTTATTTCGAGATAATAAACCGCGGAACGGTTCTTGTGGGGAAGCTACATTTTATGCCTGTGATCAAAATTTTGCCTGTTTTCTGGCAACATAAACGGTCTTTATATCAAAGCAAGGCCTAACATTTGATATACAGGTTTGTCAGTCGTTGCATACAAGAAAAAAGCAAAAAACTTTTGTAAACAAGTTTATAAGGATGAGGTTTTAATTCTCCATCACAATAATTCATTAGAATCCCGAAAATATTATACAAATATATAAATACATATATCATAATAAGTAGTATGTGAATGAATGGACAAGATTTCCCTGGAAGCACACGACCGGTTTCACGGTTCTTGCCACTCGTCAGGCATGCGTATCCAGTAATCTTTTGTCAGTTCATTCATATACTTGTACCCAGGAAGTGTATTTTCAACACAATAACCTTGTTTGCAACACCAGGCGACTTTTGGATAGACAGTTTTTTCAGAGCCAGTCCACTGAAGAATCAATGCCATGATTCGATGTTCTGTAGATAGGTTATATATATTGAAAACTGCTGCGGCACACACTCGACCCTTCCCTGACAACCTGATGTCGCGACTGCTCCACCAATGTCTCACGTCGGCAAATGCCAATCCAGCCTTCTGTATGCGTGTGAACACCTCACTTGTGATGCGTCCGCCAGGCGAAATGTAGCTGCTCGAGTAGAAAAATTGTATTACTTAGCCAGAGTCGCTGTCACCGGCGTGCGATGGACCCTATAGTCCGAGGTTCGAGCCCAGCTACCGACACCCGACTTTGGTGGTAGGCAGCTCTGCTGTCGTTCGGTTCAATACCACGCCCAATCTAGTGGGGCCTCATGTGGTTTGCCACTGCAAGTCCCACGGCTCAGGATACCGGTTTTCATCACTGAACAGCAGGTTCTCGTGACTGCATCATCACCCTTAGGTGTGATAAAAATTAAAAAAATTTAGAGCGAGATTGGGAGCTCCCTCCCTAGTGTGTTTAACATGAAAACGGTTTTGCTTATTTATTGTTCTGAGGGGCGAACTCCTTTTGAGAAATCAACTCCAACTTTCCAACAATCCAATTACATTGCAATCTTTTAGGTGGATAGAAAATACCAGAAAACATATCCAGTTAAAAAACTCACTCGGACACCCATTATCACGCAGCACAATTCGGAAGTTAATTCCAACACATGAGCCAAAGGCAAGTAACCGATGTAGATATCGTAATTGCTTCGCATTTTGGGTAAACGTTTCAGATGGCCAGCAATTGCACTGACCAGACATTCATGAGTTAGTTCCACTCCTTTCGGTTGTCCTAAAAGGATACAACAGAGCAGAATGACACCTCTGGATAAAACCGCGGGACAGTTATTATTGTAAGCTCGGATGATATTGAGATGACTTGACTATCGCCACGTCAATGGGTAGACTGAAGATGAAGCAAACTATATGCCGAAGCAGGTCAAGCCGATGTGGTCCAGAACCAAACCGGCGATCAGTCTTTCTCAACCAGTATGTTGTGCAAGATTATCATCATCATACAGCGAAATACAGTGAAGCGAGTCTCAATGATCGCTGCCAAACTCGCAATGCATACAAGGTTAGTGGTAGTATGTAAGGTGGACAGGGATCGGACACTATCTAACTGTGCATACATACTTTCTCAAGCATTCTGACCTGATAAGAAATGACAAGAACGCCATATCCTTTAATGTCTCCAACCAACCAGTTGCGGAGTCTTTCGGATCCCAACCTGGATGACGCGAGACACCTACTCTACCTAATAGCTCCGTACATTTCTTCATGCCTCGTCTCCACGTCATCTGTTGACCTCCACGTGGTTTCCTCCAGCCCGAAGAGGCTACAGTGAATAAAGCGCGATGCGGCAGACGACAGATGGGAATACGCAATGTGATCAAACACATGACAGCTTAATTCCAGATTGCTAACCCGCTCGCTCAATCCCACGTGGGCAAAACTACGTAAAACCCGATAATCGAAAACTTTTAAGCGATGGATATATTCTACTCGCAAACTCAAGGTCTCACAACCATAAAGCAGAACAGAACGGACGCTATACAATATACAACTTCAGTGAAACATTGGGTGTTTCAGTCTTGGAAATGCGGGCGGTTATCTCCTTTGTTGAGCTACCGTCACTGGTCACGCAACTATCTAAGCAGAAAAAGTAATCCACTATAATTAATTCCCGATCATTTAGCTTCAAAGCGGGAGTAGGCGACACCCAGTTCTACAGTATCACTGNGCAAAGCACAGAACGTACCTGTCAACAGTACTTGTTAGTCTATCAAGTGCGCCTTGTGAGTCCTCCAAACATTAGAACAGACAGGCGATCTAATTTGCCCAGCTTTTCTCCAGCTGTTCATTCTCCAGTATGTCAACTACGAAATTGAACACGAATGGTGAAAGAGGGCATCCTTGACGAACGACGCTGCTGGTGACTAACGGCTTACTTAGTTCATTCTAAACCCTCACTCAATCAGAGGTGAGTACAGTGACCCCAGTGAGTCAACTTACCACTGGGGAATTTTTTTTCGAAAGGAATCCATCAGAGCTTCCAGGTCAAGGAACACTGCGACCGTTGGTCGACGGTGAGTGTGACGCAGCTCAAGGATCTGAAGCAACGCAAAAATCTGATCAATACATTCACGGATCTTCGTATCTTCTAAGGGAGTCAGAGGTCGAAGTATGATGGAGGCTAGCATTTTAGTGACGAGTTAAATCAAAATTATCCCGCGGTGGTTCCCGTAATCGTTGCGATATCCTTTCTTGAGAACGGGAAAGATCAATGATTTGCCCCAAGATGAAGGAAAGTGCTCTTGCGTCCAAAAGTTGTGCAGTAAGGTAGTAATAGAGCCCATCTTGCAAAGAGTGGAAAGGAGCCCATCCGACCCCGCTGCCTTTCCTCGCTTCAGAATTCAAGCCCGAACTTTTACTTCTCAGGGAGGATCGGACGTCAATGCCCTCGAAGCTTCAGTTGTAGATGAAGTAGTCTGATTTTTATTTCTACAAAACACCTTAATGCGACGAACAGCAGACGGGGAAAGCCCCACGGTAACGAGGAACTGCTGTTCAGTGATGAAAACCGGTAACTTGAGGCCCGGGTGACAACGAAAGCTGACTACCACCAAGGTTGGATGGTGGTCGCAGGGATCGGACTTAGGATCATACAGCCCAAAGCAGACCGATCACAGCGACTAAACCACTGCGCTACCACCACAGCGCCAGACCAGCTGAACTGTTCGCTGAACTATTCCGCCCACTGATTAAGTCGTTTATCCCTATTGTGAATAGCCTTCATATCGCAAACTGTTTTACCAACTGGAGTTCGCTGACCTCTCATACTGCGTACCAGTCGGACAGTCTTTGAATATTCCCTGATGTAGGTGCTACTTTCATTTCACTAGCTATTGTTCCCCACCAGTTCTCACGATCCTTATTGAGGCTCTTCGTAAGCTGACGTTGAAGACGCAGCCTAACCCTGTGTTGCTCCTGGTAGGACGGCATTTATCGCTTTTTCTCCATCAGGGTTACTGATTTATGAGATATCCAATGCATCCGACGGGCTTGAGGCTGAAACTCACAAGCAACATTCGTTGCGGAATGCATTGCTCGCCTACTCTGATCCCACTGCTCGTCACTGCGGTGTGTAAGGTGTGCGCGTCCAAGTTTACATCGTAATCCAGGGGACCAACACTGATCCTACTAGATGCTGGCAATGCTGGGGAGATATCGTTGTTGGAACATCCAGTTCGCTGATTGTCAACGCGCATTGATAAACGCCCCAGCATGCATCTAACTACAGGTTTACCCCTTTGGCTGTAAATTACTGTGTAAGAAAAAAACCAACGCACGCAAAGACAAAACATAACAGCCGTTTTAGCTTTCACGACCAGTAACCTCATCTCAGCAGGTAACTCATCGGTCAGTCTTTTGGCTGCTCATTTGGTTGACTAGGGACGGATTAAATTGAAAAATTTGAAGGCAAATGTACGATAAAAAAGGATACCGAAATCAATTAAACTAGACGAACAAACGCTACTATTTACGACATTTAGCGGTGTTACCCCATGCTATGAGGCACAGTGTCACTTACGAAGTATGTGCACCACAATAACCCAAGGTACACTATCGACGTAGGGCACACTGCGAATCTAACACGCGTTAACACGAGTGACACTCGGTAACGAACGACGAGAACACAAATTAGGCGCCCAGAGACGACGAGCACGCTTTCACAGAGGGAGGGGACACAGAAACGAGCTAAGTCCAACAATGACAATGCACGTAACTCAGCGGGAACTGGTGACTTTAAACCCTTAGCATTAAACAGTAGAGCCGCATGAGGGCCAACTGATAAAGACAGTTTGAAGTTGAAGATAATGAAGCAGTCGGTCTCATGAACAAAGATCAAGTGTAATTAAGTGGAGCATAAGGAGACCCACCAGTGGATCCACTCGTATACATGATGACAGCCAAGTCAGTGGTCTTCGGCCGTTCGGACATAGGTGGCATCCACAAACCCTCATCTGTCCCGTTGGTTCCGTTTCCCCCGTTGTTCTCGACTGGCTTTTGATCACTTTCGCCAGCAGCATTTGGTTCCTGTTGTTTCTTCCTATTCTCACACTCAGCCAACATGATCGCCGCACCGCGTCGTTCAATCTCAATTACATCATGAATATGTAAACTTGCCGGAGCTTTGGTCAATGCCTCGGCCACGCTAGCCGTTGCGCTTCCGGTCGGAACGGCCAAATTATCCACCTCAGTATAAAGCTCGCGATTGAACACTCCGTTTGTGAAGTAGATAATCCGGTCAATGCTGGGACAACGCTGAACGATTTTCACGACTTTGGACAAAAGTTCATCACTGGTGAATACAATGCTGACCTGTTCAGAGAGAAATGAAATGAATGAATCATGAAAACTAGTGACGAGGTCCTTTTTCCAAAACTTACACTTTCATTACAAGAATATAATTCATGTGGAAATCAGACAAACTAAAAATCAAGATACATATCGGGAGTTGGGAAAATTCACAAGAATACATTGGCCAGATCAACAGGAGCAGGAAACAAAGATAATTACGTACCAACAGTAAAAGTTGTTCCGTTAACAAATTCAAGCGGTGTTTTGAACTGTTAGCATTGCAACCGCAAAGCGGTTAGCATTAAAAGTCAACAACCATAGTAGGAGTAGTCAAGATAATTAAGGATGTGATGTTTTTGTTGCCATGTCCAGTTCATTCATGTGTTGATGACATTCATGCTGCACAGTCGAAGTTCACTGGGCCCGTTTAAGACTCACGGCTGTAAACAAGGTGTGGTTTCTCGCTCGGGTTGCTGGGCAAGCGCCAGGTCCCTTGCTGCAGCTGAACCATTCGACCGATTGATAAATGAACCCGATCGGTCGTGTGATTTTCGGGACGGCATAGGACGAAGATTGGTTTCGAATCCGATGCTGCCCAAGTGTTNACCACAAGAGAATCAGTTGTGGAGCGATGCGTCATGAGGGGAATTTGGAATGGAAAATGCTCAAGCGATGATGACACTGGGCCAACGCCTGACTCGTATAAGATAAATGCATTATTTTTCGAAGCGGGTTCGGTAGACGGATAATCATAATAAAACCTTGAACTTGTCTTAATAACGGACAACAATAATGTAAACCCACGCAACTCTTCCTGGTATTTTCCCAACTGGCTGTGTTCGCGATGAACGATGAACGTCGGAGATAGAATTCCGAAAGAAAGGAAGAACAAATATTATGAAAAAGTTCATATTTATTTTATAAAAATTGTTCAATGGTTCCCATTCTGCTGCTTG